TCACTCACTCACTCTCACACACACACACACACACACACACACACGTGTGCACTACGCACCGGAAACACTGCCTCTGGAGGAAGAGTGGCTGTTGGTTTCCTAGCAACAGACGCGACGCGGATGTTTGAGATGGAGAAACAGCAGAAGAGGAACATTTGCTCGCTGGACGAATTTATTCAATTTCAAGGACTGGTGAGTTCAAATGATGCTTATTACCCAGAATAAAACAGCGAAGCTAACTAGTTATTAATATAAGCGTTATTACTGGATGATTCTCTCGAAACCAGTGTCTGCCAGAGAGCAGTCCTCCTCATGTATATATAATCCCTGCACCGATGTCTGATGCTGACAGGTTTCTCTCATTACTAAACTGACCAATCAGAACGAATATTCAAATGACGTCTGATGACGTTTGCTTCCGTCCGGATTTCAGTGCGTCAGAAAAGCTGTCGATATCGTCAAATACACTCTACTCTAACTAATGAAACTAGAATGGGGTTGTGTAGATGTTAGATGAACTGTAGCTGGATATCAGATCAGCTCTGGGGGTTTATTAGACTGATTATGCGTTATTAATTCATGATCAATGCACATGATTATCATCAAATATATACAAATCAGATCTGCAAAGCTTCTGCATCGTGATATAATGACAATTCAGCAGATTTTACATTTAAAAAAATTTCATTCTTATTACTGTCATTGCAAAATAAATAAATAAATAATGCAATATGAAGTATTAGTATTTGCTGCCTGTAATTTGTGCTAATTTTAGTTTCTGCAAAATGTTAATTATTTGACCAACATAAGAGGGATCATAGAAAATGCATGTTATTTTTGATTTCGTTGACCCTGGGCTCTTAATGCATGGTTTCTTCTTCTGCTGTGTTTCTCCTCCGTGTGAAAACATGCATCTCAGAACCACAGTCACTGCTGGAAAGGGTTCAAACTCACACAAATGCTGCAAAACCACAGAATGTGTGTGAGCTGGGGGGTTTCTGAAGAACGGCAGGAGTGGAAGTGTTCAGAACAAACAAGGGACTCGTGAACAACTCTCAGTGCACACCCACACTCACACACACACACACACACACACACACACACACACACACACACACACACACACACACACACACAGCTGTGGAGCATTCAGACAACAACACAGTGTTACGAGTTTGAACCGGTCATTTTTATACATTTAACTATTTTTCTTTCTTGTGGACTATTTGTAAGCATCTTTCATGTGAAATATCTTATTCAGCTCAGCACTAAATAAACAATAACATGCATTTTGTATGATCCCTCTGATTTTGGTAAAACATTTTGCAGATCCTGCAAAGTTGATGTAATATTTTGGCCACGATTGTTGTTGTACGTGTGAGAATGATGTCAAGATGCAAAAAATCTTACTATGCGCATCTGGTCCTAACCCACACTCACACACACACACACACACACACACACACACACACACACACACACACACACACACACACACACAGCTGTGGAGCATTCAGACAACAACACAGTGTTACGAGTTTGAACCAAATGAGTTTGTCATTTTTATACATTTAACTATTTTTCTTTCTTGTGGACTATTTGTAAGCATCTTTCATGTGAAATATCTTATTGAGCTCAGCACTAAATAAACAATAACATGCATTTTGTATGATCCCTCTGATTTTGGTAAAACATTTTGCAGATCCTGCAAAGTTGATGTAATATTTTGGCCACGATTGTTGTTGTACGTGTGAGAATAATGTCAAGATGCAAAAAATCTTACTATGCGCATCTGGTCCTAAAAATATTATGTTTCATTTATGTTATGCAAAAGTAAAATATTTTAATTAATATAAAAAAAAAAGTTAAATTTTTTTTTTGATGTGATTTTTACAATTTCCGCTCTATTGCTTGTTGTTGTTTGATGTGTTTGAAGCCTGTATTATGTGTAGTGATTCGCTGCTCCTGGTGTCTGTGGTGTTTGAGGTGGACTGGCCGGTGGTGTGTGAGCAGAATCTGCACAAGTCTTCTTCTCAGCTCTACCAGCACGCTGCAGAAATCTGTCGAGATCTCAGAGACCGAATCCCGTTCCCCAGCGACGCTGCTGAATCCTTGAAGACAGACCTGCAGACGCTCGGGATGAGAGTGAAGCTCCAGAACTCCATCTTCACCCAGACGCCGGATTAATGCCAGCATCGTCACAAATCAGAACGAGCAGGTTATATAACTCCTCTGTTATTAGATCGAAGGGTTTTCTAGAGACCAGTCCGTGGCGATGGTTTAGCTTCAGGTGTGCAGGAGAACACAGCTCTGATCCTCAGGAAACATCGGAAGAAACGTAACATTTCACATGTTTTCTCTTTTCTTTTTTCTGGTTTCCATTTGAATGGGTTTAATGATAATCATCTGAAAGCATGTCGAATCAAATAAATACATACAACTTTTCAAATGTAATCAAATGAATATGTAACAATTCCTTTACAACAGAACATTGCATTTTTTGTCAAATAAACTGCTGCACAACAGACTATTTTTTTTAAATATATTTAATTTATAGTAATCTTTTTCAGTCATCTTTTTTTTTTCATAAACAACTTGAGTAATTTAGTTTCTGCGGTAAATGTATCTTGGTTTAGGGATGTTTAGATATTTGTGCTGAAAAACAAGAAAATTATTTTTGCGGTCTACAGTATGTAGATCAGCATAAATTATCAATAATATTATGAAAAAATTCCTAATTCTTAATATTATCAATTCATTATTTTAAACATATTTTCAAATTTATAGCATTATTAATTTAAATATGAATTATTGTAATATTTAAAATAATACTTGTCCAAAACACTTGCATATATGCAGTTGTACCCACTGCTTCTCAGAGAGTGAAAGCATGAATGATTTATTGCTAGAGCTTGAGGAATCAGAGTAGTAGTGAGTCAGAACAGATCTTCTTCACACCAGCTTCTTCTCGTCTTCCCTGCACTTTCGAGGGATGAAGTGAGAAGAGATGCTCTCCTTCCTCGTCTTCTTTCCTCTCAGCGGTCGGCCCTTCTGTGACAGAGAGATGAACATCTCTTTGCCGTTTTTAGTCCATTTGACGGACGAGTACGCCGTGTAGTAGTTCTCTAAAAACACTTCTTTGAAGTTGCAGCTGTCGTTGTAGTCTTTCTGTCCGGGAAAGAAGAACAGATCGTAAGGTACGACAGAAGCGAGATGTATTGCATTGTGTTGTGTTTGCTGAATTGTCCGTGGCATGTCTTATATTTACTCTTCAATGAAAGATGAGAGAGAGAGCGTTAGCTGGGATAATCGGATTAACTGGTGTATGTTGTGTGTTTGCAGGACGGATGGCTTTATACTTTGCCCTGTAACATTCCGGTGCGGTTCATGGAAATATAATACTGGCTCTTCAGTCCTTTTATGGCCAACACACCGCCCTCCGAAACCGTCCTGATCTCCAGAACACCTGAAACACACACAGCTTTATTTGAGATGGTGGTTATTTGGCCACTCAGTTATTGAGAAATTGTTTAAAGGTGATGGGTGTTAAATTACTTCTACTGTTTTTCAGCTGAATATGCAAGAATTTATTGTTGCTATTCTGTTTAATGGTGCAGAAAAACACACCTCGGCTTTCAGAATCCATTCCTATGAAGCAAAATATCAGCTTCAGATGGTTCGATCTCGATCTACAGCGAGCTAAAGCTCCAGTTGCACAGATATTTGACAGCTGGAGCATCTGTTTGTTGTGTTTGGATGAGAAGCAGACACTGTTCTTGTCGTTTTGAGCTGTGTGTGTGTGTGTGTGTGTGTGTGTGTGTGTGTGTGTGTGTGTGTGTGTGTGTGAGAGTGAGTGTGTGTGAGTGTGAGTGTGTGTGTGTGTCTCTGTGTGTGTGTGTGTGTGTTTGTGTGTGTGTCTGGAAGTGTTTGCTTCACATGTGAGCGGCTCCAGTGGTGTAATAAGCTGCTGTCACGGCACAGCTCTGACAGAACCTCAGAACGCGTCTGCTTTTCTCTCCCGCGGCGCTGACCGACCCTCACTGCATGTCTTGCATGCGCTCTGTGCGTGCAGTTGTCGGCCACATCTGGCTGTATCAATTTTTCTTCTTTTCAGCGCCAGCTGATGTAATAATTTTCCCTCCAGAGCAGAGATGCATGCCGTCACGCCAACACAACGGCTTTCTTCTCGTACACAACTGAAAAGACTAATAACCAAACATGCCGGAGGCTGATGTTATGTATATACATGATCATTAAAGTGAATAATCAATTATTTAAATATTTATTTTATCAGCTAAATAATTGATTATGTATCCATGCACACAACATCAGCTTCCAGTCTCATTTTTTTGTTGTTGTTTTGACGCTCTCTACACAAACTAGATTGCAATCACTGAACTGTACCTCCATTCTGACCACATCTGATAACTTCTGACCACTAAGTCCTCCAACGAAGGGAAACAAGGGTTATAAATACTCCCCCCAAACACCTGTTTCTCTTTACGCCTGTCACTTCTCATCACGCTGCCACGCGACCTGCTGATAATCCCACTGGAACCCTGACCAGCCGATTCCTTCCACATACAGTGGGAAAACACTCTCTAGTCTCTACTATAACTGAAGAGGCCTTTACCAATCATGGACTTTAGACACATTGTTTTTGATCAAAAAACAGAATGCACATTCAGTTGAAACTATCATGCAACTTCGATATTTTCAAATATTCATATAAGCATCATCTAACGCTTGTTAATGTTATTTTTCACCACCCTGACACACTCAGTGAGTGATGACGCTCTTACTGTAGCAGTTGTTGGGATCCTGCGTCCCGTTGATGTTCCCGAACTCGTCGATCATCAGAAACCACTGCGTGCGACTGTAGAGGCGTCGGATCCGAACGTCCCCTCCTTCCATGTAGTCGTAGTTCCTGGTGTGGCGCTCGTGTTTGGAGCAGTCGGTCACAGACGCCTGTCCATCGCACACGCAAACACGGCTGACCAGCAGCGCCAGCCACAGTCCACACGCAAACTCAGGCAGTTTCCATCGCAGCGTCCATTTGCGCATTATACTGCGTTTCTCAAGGAGTTCATGATCCACATACTGAAGGCAAAACTCAGATTGGATCTTCAAGCTGTGGGAGATCCGCTCGGACCCTTTCCCAGTACAATCCTCAGATGCTGGCGTGACCTCTGACCTCCAGCAGAATCTCCTCAGAGCTGGAGGAGGCAGCAGTGTGTTAGTTTCTGCTGTTAATGACACAAATGAACAAATGGATGCTTCACACGCTGTCCAATCCTGATGAAGATACAGGAGACAGGCCAGTTCCACACAGTTCCAGATATCTAGAGAGGGTTTATATATACATAATACTTATATATAGATAACATAGTAAAGATACAAAAAGGAATCCTGAATTCAACTGAACACTGATTTTACACAAGATTTACTCAGAATTCACTGCAAGACATTTGATTGTTAAATGGCAGGGCTGTCTGTAGATGACTGACGCTGGAGAAAATGACCACTTCTGTGATTCGGCCGAGTGGGCACAGCTCACTATTCTATAATATTCAATTATATTGCAATATACTTCGGTCACTGCTTTAAATGTCTCAATATTCCTCTGTTGCTACTTTAATTAAATGTCTCAGTGTCGCTCTATCGCTAATCTTAATTTTTCAGCGTCTCTCTATCACTACTTTAAATGTCTCATTGTCGCTCTATCGCTACTTCAAATGTCTCAATATTGCTCTATCGCTACTTCGAATGTCTCAATATTGCTCTATCACTACTTTGAATGTCTCACTGTCGCTCTATTGCTACTTCAAATGTTCCAGTGTCACTCTGTTGCTACTTAAGCAATATCACTTTATTGCTACTTCGAATGTCTCAATATTGCTCTATCGCTACTTCAAATGTCTCAATATTGCTCTATCGCTACTTTGAATGTCTCAATATTGCTCTATCGCTACTTTGAATGTCTCACTGTCGCTCTATTGCTACTTCAAATGTTCCAGTGTCACTCTGTTGCTACTTTAGCAATATCACTTTATTGCTACTTCGAATGTCTCAATATTGCTCTATCGCTACTTCGAATGTCTCAATATTGCTCTATCGCTACTTTGAATGTCTCAATATTGCTCTATCGCTACTTTGAATGTCTCAATATTGCTCTATCGCTACTTTGAATGACCAGGTATCACTCTATCGCTACTTCAAATGTCTCAATATTGCTCTATCACTACTTTGAATGTCTCACTGTCGCTCTATTGCTACTTCAAATGTTCCAGTGTCACTCTGTTGCTACTTAAGCAATATCACTTTATTGCTACTTTGAATGTCTCAGTGTTGCTCTATGTTACTTCAGATGTCTCAATATTGCTCAATCTCTACTTTAAATGTCTCAGTGTCACTCTGTCACTAGTTTGAATGTCTCAGTGTTGCTCTAGTTCTACTTTGTATGTCTTAGTGTAACACTATCACTACTTTAAATATTTCAATATAGCTCTATTTCTACTTTAAATGTCTCAGGATTGCGGTATTTCTACATCAAATGTTTCAGTATCGCTCTATCATTTCTTTAAATGTTTCAGTGTTGCTCTTTCTCTCATTTAAATGTCTTAGTATCACTCTATTTCTACTTTAAATGTTTCAGTATCACTCTATTATTATCTTAAATGTTTCAGTATTGCTCTGTCTCTAATTTAAATGTTTTAACATCCGTCCATTTCTGTTTTAAATATCTCAGTTTTGCTCTACTGCTACTTTAAATGACAGTGTATTAGTTTCTGTCTTATTCTGCCTAGTTTCTGCCAAATGTATATATTAGTTTAAAATGTTATGATAATTCTTTTTAATAACAGTCTTTAAAAGCAACTTACTTCTGCTTCCAGGATGTGCACTTCAGTCCCGACGATTCCACTGTGATACTCTGAGAGAGGGAGTTTTGGGGCAGTCCGTCTGCGCTGTGCATCTTCTCGTGTTGCTGAACGCTGTGCGATCTCTGATAAAAGCCTCCTGCTGACCTCACTTCTCTGCAATTACGCCTCAGCCACTCAGCTGTCCCTGGGATGCTGGCGAGAGAGGCTGATGGTGAGAGAGAGAGAGAGAATCGTCCGTTTCTGCTGGCCAGGCCTCCGGTGGACAAGAGAGCGCTCTCTCTCTCTCTCTCTCTCTCTCTCTCTCTCTCTCTCTGAGGTATGCGGGACGAATGCTGCGAGATCTGCACACAGACTCTAAGAAACTCAGTAGCCCCTCACTGCAGAACACAAGATCCAGGGGGTGTGGTTATCATCTAGGGGGTGGAGATGGGTAGGTTTAGAGGTGGAGATGGGCGGGTTTAGGTGTGGAGATTGGTTGGTTTAGGGGTGGAGATGGGCGGGTTTAGGGGTGGAGATGGGTAGGTTTAGGGCTGGAGATGGGTTGGTTTATGGGTGGAGATGGGGATGTTTAAGGGTGGAGATGGATGGGTTTAGGGGTGGAGATTGGTTGGTTTAGGGGTGGAGATGGGTGGGTTTAGGGGTGGAGATGGGGGGGTTTAGGGGTGGAGGTGGGGATCTAGGGGGTGGAGATGGGTAGGTTTAGAGGTGGAGATGGGTGGGTTTAGGGGTGGAGATTGGTTGGTTTAGGGGTGGAGATGGCTGGGTTTAGGGGTGGAGATGGGTGGCTTTAGGGGTGGAGATGGGCGGGTTTAGGGGTGGAGATGGGTTCGTTTATGGGTGGAGATGGGTGGGTTTTGGGGTGGAGATGGAAGGATTTAGGTGTGGAGATGCGTGGGTTTAGGGCTGGAGATGGGTGGGTTTAGGGCTGGAGATGGGTGGGTTTTGGGGTGGAGATGGGTGGTTTTAGGGCTGGAGATGGGTGGGTTTAGGGGTGGAGATGGGTGGTTTTAGGGCTGGAGATAGGTGGGTATAGGGGTGGAAATGGGTATGTTTAGGGTTCAGGGGGTGGTGACGGGTAGGTTTTGGTATATATATATATATATATATATAAGGTGAGAGGAGTTGGATCTGGATCCAACCACGCCCCCTGGATCTTTTGTTCTGCAGTGAGGACCATCTCAAGAAACTGCTGTTGCATCGATGCCCACCGTCTCGACATTTATGAAAATTCACATGCCGTGAGATTCGGGATTTCTCAAGACCCTGCAGTTCTCATGTGATTTAAAGGATCTCGTCTGTCATTTGTTGGTGTCATACAGACAAACATCAAAGCCCGAGTTGAATTCAAAGGCTGATAGTGATTCTACGAGGGCAATAAATCTAATGAGGCGGGCCTGCAATTGAGGAAGCTAAACAGAGGGCCGTTTACTGCTGGAATTGTTCATCTCTACAGAAGGTCAAGCACTCTTTCACTTTTCCTGTTTGTATTTAGGAGGCAAATTTACAGTTTTACACACCTGGCCTCCGCAGCTCTCAGCACATCAAACGTTCCCAGCATTCGACCCCCGAGGGCAGCGCTGCATACTGCCAACAGACACGCAGACCTCTGCTTTACTCTTTCATTTCCCAAACGATCGCTTGTAAAACGGCTGATCTAAAAGCTCACGCTCATTTGCAAACGCAGAAGCCGTGTACGTCCCTTCACCTTAAATACCTAATGAAGTTTTATGGGAGCACGCGATCTAAATTTTGTTTGTTTCTGTACAGGAAGACCATCAGATGTTCCTGTGTTCCTGTGGAGCTTCTACATGTGAACATTAAAATGGTTTATTATGCAAAATGGAAAAGTTGCATTCTCCTTTATTGCAGCCAATATTGCACTGCATAAAACATATTTAGCATCCATCATGTGCAGGTCATAAATGTCGTCTGGGTGGTGTTTTCTTTTTCTTGTATAGGTTTGTTCATGAGCTGACATCTCCCAAATCTCTATTGAATATTGTAGAGTTTGATCAGATTTCATTGATTTCAACAATTTATTAACAGGAACCGACATTTTCTCATTCGTGTCAAAAGTTGATCTGTTCATTTTTCATGGATTGCTTCATTGTACTTCTCATTTCTAAGCCAAAAGCATCTGCTGGATGATTAAACGTAAATGTGGTTGTATTTTATGGTGACCATATTATAAGTGTTTACTGTTTAATTGTTTTACCGCGATGATGAGAAGATGGGTCTTTGAGAATGCTTCTCTTAATGAGTTTCATCCTCACAGAAATGTGTACCTCTCGCTCTCACAGTGAACTGGACACTGACTGTGTTCACTGGACTGTGCTGGTTCCCGCTCAGTACATGTTTACAGTCCCAGCGCTCGTTTGAGTTTATTGCTGAAATGAAAGAGTGAGGAACACTTCAAAGTCGTTCTGGAGGAGAGAGAGAGAGAGAGTGAGCTCATGATGTCTGTGAACTTTAGACAACTTTAATTGCACCTGAAACGGCTGTCATAACCCAAACCAACATGCAATCCTGCACTGCGTCACATCCGCGTCTGTTTACTCTGGGCTTATGGAGAATAACTCTGGTATATATTATCAATAAACATGGGAACTGTATGTGAGACCGATGAAAGTCTGTGCTTTATCAACAGCGGGGTGGCGCTTGGCTCTCACCTGCTCTCCGGGTTTAAGGTCAGTCTATTCTGAGTCGCTGCTTTCTACATTCCCTCATAATTAGTGAGCTCATGGGATCAGGGCTGTTAACGGTGGGCTGTTCTTTAAATAGCTGCGGTTGTGTTGCTCAAGTCTTTGGATGGACACAGAATCAACAGTATATTTTCAGGGTTAGTGTTTAGGGTTAAAAATCTGCAGTAAAGGTAAAGAGCGTTTCACAAACTCACCTTTGTGTGTCTCTGCTCAGATGATAATGTTTGATTGTAGTAATTTTATTATCTGTGTTTTATTAGGGTTGACGGCTGATGGTGTGTCACTGCTGTAGTTTCTGTTCTGACATCATCCTCATCATCTTCATCTTCAGACTGGGAGTCTGTAGATCCGTATGGTCTGACGTTTGGTGCACAGGTTAGGGTTGGTCTGACCAGTCCTCTCATTGAAGTTCACTCAAGTCGCTGGTTTGAATCTCCATCCACACACACACACACACACTCACACACACGCACACTCACACACACACACGCACACACACACACACACACACGCACACACACGCACACACACACAGAAGAAATTACTAATTACTTGGATCAGATTTCCAAAGTGAATAACATGATAACTCTCTAGTAATTACTGAAATCATTGTAAGCTTTTTGTAAGATTCTGGATAGTCATTCTTTTTGCTAGGTTTGGTAACACTTGAGTCATTACTAGTGGGTTACCGAGATCTTCACTTTAGAATTAATTATACATTATGTATAATTCACATTAATTATGAACCTGTATAGTAGCTCTTAGTAGTTCTCCGGGATATATGGAAAAAATAGCAGTTAATGATTAGCTAATAGTGAACTACCACTTTCAACTGAGCACTATTACTTACTAAATCGTTAATCAGAGTTTCTTGTTAGTTAATAGTACACTCTTAAAAATAAAGGTGCTTCAAAAGGTTCTTCAAGCGATGCCATAGAAGAACCATTTTTGGTTCCACAAAGAAGCATTCAGTCAAAGGTTCTTTAAAGAACCATCTCTTTCTTGCATTTTTATAATCTGAAGAACCTTCTTTCGCCACAAAGAACCTTTAGTGAAAGGTTCTTCAGATGTTAAAGGTTCTTTATGGTACCATTTAGACAAAAAGGTTCTTCTATGGCATCGTGAAGCACCTTTATTTTTAAGGGTGTAGTTACTAGAATGTTATTAGTGCATTAGTTATTTGTTCTTGTGTAGTTATTCATTAACGACAGAACAGTGTTCTAAAGTGTTACCAGTTTTTCCTCTATATCTTCACGCTTAAAGGACTGTAAAACTTTTAAAGCTGAAATGTTAAATTGAGTTTGCATCCTTGTCTCAAGAATATATTGTTGTATTATTATTGTTTTCTTCATTGCCCGTTCATATGTGGAATAGTTTGATAACATGGTGGTGAGTGAAGAACTGACCGGGTGCAAAATTTGCACCTTTTTCCCCAAAGTTGGCAGGTCTAGCATAAAAATGCTTTCACTCGCTTTCTTTTTGTTTTTGGTGCCTCAATTAACCAGAAATGGCTGATGGTTGTAAAGTTAAATGTCAGCATCCTTCATTCATCATCTCAGAAATGCTCCTCTGGCCTTTAATCAGTGCAGGTTACATCTACAGCACGAGATTTATAAAGCTGC